CATTGGATGTAATACAGTATATATGTCATGACTTGTGTCTGTGCTTATGATTTATTATAAGTTTTCTGTCTTTTCCTCCTGTTTTCTTCCTCCTGTCTGCCTTTGCTCTAGCCCCGCCCACTCACACCTGATCCTCATGTTTCTTCCCCAGGTGTTTCTTGTTTTACCTCATTAGTTCTTCCTTTATATTCTGTCCTTTGTCCTCAGTCTTTGTCAGATCCTTGTTCTCTGTTTACTGTTGTCTCATGCCAAGCCAAGAATCTTGTTTGCTGCCACGTCAGCGCTTTTGTTTTTGTTGCTTTAATAGACCTTTTTTGCCCCCTCACTCAGTCTTGCATCCTGGGGTTCAAACCAACTAAGCTCAACCGTAACAATATGTACCTGAAGTCAACTCAATTCAAGATGTCTTCCACAAATAATCAAGCTTAACAAACACAAAAAATGCTACAAATCAGTCAGTTTTACAGTTATTGAGCTAACATTTGTTGTGGGAGTAGCTGGAGATGTCATGATATTGTGTAAGATTACTGTATTTGCAAAGTTTGACCAAAACAGCCTATTATGTCGCCCAACATTGGATGAGATTTTGGAGTGGCAGGTGGTGATTGCCATGCGTTCCTTTGAGAAATGACAGAGATTGATTTAACTCTGTGCCTTAGTGTTTGTATGCTTTTTATATCTGCATGGGTTTATTTTGGCCCTTGACATGACATGAGAGACCTTCCTGTCATGTTACACCAGTGATAACAACGGGCGGCTTGTTAGACGCTCGTTTGCTGCTGGATTTCTGACATGAACACATGAGGCACGACAGCGAAACAAGCCGTTTAGTTTTTATCAAACGATTCATTATCACATTTCTTTTTTTTACTATTTAAATACAAACATTTACGACCATTTTAAGAACAATTTGAATCCCTTGTAATATAGCAGACAGTGTGACAGCCCTGTGTTTTGTTGCCACACAGACTTTAGAACAGACATCTCACCTTTAATTTGTTCTGTATATTTGCACCTGTCCCTCCATCCCGCTCCTCCCTCGATTGGCTCCTTGTCGCTGTCTCAGCAGATGTTCGAAACCCCGCGGAGCTCCGTTTGGCTGTCAGGCCTGCTGCTGGGGAATGAACGAGCCAAGCTGTGGTTGTCTTTTTTTTCTCACTTTTTCTTGTCTCTGTCTGACTTTGTCTTTACCTTTTTATTCCACATCTTCTTGACATTCTCTATCCTGTTCTGTCTCTCATCAGACTTCAAATCCACAACTTGTACCAATAAAACTAAAACAAAGAAAAGAAAAAATATTATTGCTTTAAAGGGCAACACTACTTTGTGTCACACATCAGATACTCATGAAATCCAGCAGGATTCAAAGCACCACGTAGTTCATTTTTGCCTTCATGTGCCTTTGACATCACTTTTTTTATAATAAACATGAAAGCATTTTTGTAAAGATAACATTGACAGTAAACTATAAAACAAATTTATTACCCCAGAGATGAGCAGTTGTTTAGATATTTGCATGTGAAGTAACAGGAAGTGATGTCAAAGGGGAATATCTGCATGTAAACAGAGTGTTGCTACAATATCTAACAATGCACCCGCTTTGGATGTTATCATCCATTAAATGGACGTTATTAGCCGTTATCAGTCCCATAGAATGTCTTCAGACTGTCAGCTGGTTAATACAGTATAAGGCATAAAACCACTAAGGTTTTTTATGCAATCTGGTTAATATGAGGCATAAAACCACTAAGGTCAATTTTAGAGAAAATGACATGGGCTGCGATAAAGTAGACCGGACTCTGGCGATAGCAGATTGTTGCATTCCAGCATATATGACACTGGTAACCCACTAGGGGGCACTGTCAGGACAGTCTGAAGCCATTCTATGGGACTGATAACCGCTTATAACGTCCATTTAATGGACAGATAATATCAGAACCGGCTGAACAACACAGACTGTGGAAAAGAATCAGTTTTTTTTATTTTGAGCCATCATCAGAGGGAGAGTTCAAATAATATTGTTTAAATAAACAAAAACCAGAGAGTTTTCTTTCTTAGAGAGTTCCCCTTTGATGTCACTTCCTGTTTCACTTTGGCTATGCCAAATTCAAAGCAAAAATATGACACGTTTACGTGACAAAATGGATAAAAATCATATGCCAAGTTTCTTAAATATAAAGATGTTTTCTTTGGTGCTTTTTATTTAAAATATATTTGTTTCACAGGCACTTTAATTTTACCATTATACACAACATTTTTTAAGTTGCACACAACGACTCAAAATGCTTAAAGTAGAGTTACATTTCACCATAAAATCTCTCAAGTCAAACTAGAGACCCTGTTTTCTTGCTGCTTGTAAATATTATAATTTCTTTAATGAAGTAAGTTAGAAATGTTGCGGCGCACCACAACAGAGACAAGCAGGTCCAGAAAAGAGACCCTGGGGGCCGGACCAGGTTAAGCATGTTCATTAATTTCTGTTGTTTCTCCCCCCGCTGGCCCCTGCTCGCTTCCTGGACGTGCTGCGGATCTTAATAGGCTTCGGATCCACGTTCGCTGTTTTGAAACGAGTGYAAAGGTCCTGAGAGCTTGACAGAGAGTGATGAACAAAGCGACAAGAAGAATGAAAAGCAAAATAAATAAATAAATAAAAAAATAACATAAGCTAAAAAATAGTGAGAAGATTTAATGGCTGAAATGTTTAATCTTTWATTTACTTGCAGCTGTACACTGACACATTCAAGTTAATAATAATAATAACATTCCCGGGCATCAAATTTTAATTACAGCAGTAAATGTCCACACCCTGCAGCAAATACTGACTAAAATCTGAATCTGGAAGCAGCTGCTTGTTGATGGGTTTCTCACTGTGAGCAGATTATYGCCCCTACAAACAGCTGACTTTACGTTTTAGAAGTCATTTTTATAGGTTACCCTGATGACRTTTTACCAGCTTAGAACCACGTTATCTGTGCAGGGCTAGAGGGCAGAAAAAAGCACACAAACAGCTACTTCCTGATGCCCTACGGTTCCCCCAGACTCCCACGTGGAGCCCCGTCTCTGCAAAGAGACTTCAAAGGCAGACCTGGTGCTCGTGTTGACCTTTGACGCTCTCTCTGCTCTCCRAGCAAACAGGAACAACCTAATTGATTCTAAAATCACCACAGCAAAGGAAATACTTAGAAAAACATATTGATAATTAACGGCCAATGAAAGATGAGGAAGTTTTATAAAGTTCTGTTGATAAATGACAGTTATCGTACTTGCCCTTGCTCTTGAAAACAACTTTCTATGTCATCKAATGCTGTATTCCAGTTTTTGTTGGTCTGTTGGCTGTAAAGGCCATCTTCATTTGRTCTGTCTAAAATGTAATCAGTTGTTTATTCAGTGATTTCTTTCTGGATGTTTCAATCAAATCTGTCCAGTAGTTCATGAGATATTTTGCTAACAGACAAACAGAACCGCACTCGTCAATGCCAATATTTTAAACAAATATCTCATCGGATCTGTTAGCACTGAGGTTTTGAGTTGAGAGTAGTTGTGAGCTACTACCACCTTAAATTTCWGGTCAACAACTGTAAAACTGACTGAGTTATAAATATGTTTGTGTTTKTAAGGTTGCGTTTGCTGCGGTGGCTGTCTCAAATGAGGTTGACCCCACATGTTAATCAGCTGTAGGTATACATCTATGAATTACCTTTTGAAAGTTTTGTAAAGTTTGGTTCCTTCAAAATTTCGCTAAAAGKCAAACACATAAACATACAGGCTAGACGTTATTGACAACTTTTAATATTTCAGCRTCTGGCAATAAAAGTAAGGACGTAAAAAAAAGACATTTTGAGGGGAAGAGTCCTTTAGGTGGGTATCTAATTGTAGATAAGCAGGAACGGTCAGGTGCAATTTTCCACACAGCTCATGGAGATGGTCAGATATTGATGTGGGCAGAAATTGASTCAAACCCCTCCGCTGCCTCTTTGGTCCCCCCCAGATAATGCTGAGTGAACTCACGGTTTGCTTCGGTTAATTTTCCGCCTCGTGTCCCGGCTGTCTCTCAGAGATGGAGTCTTAGATGATTCCGGCTGATAAGGGAAGTGGTGGCTGAAGGAAGGCACCAGGAGCGGTCTGTGCAGTTGCTTTTAGTGTCTGCTCATTTATAAACAAATTTCAGACACTCAGTAAATGAATGGATGCATTAGGATCCGGCGGGGGGACAGTTTTTGGACAAAGCGCTGTGTTGAACTTTCTGCTTGGAAATAACAGGTTTTAGTTCAAAAGACCGACATCTTCAGTTATTTTTTATGTAATAACGCACTAATTCAACACTAACTTTATCAGTTTGTTTCTAATTTGCCTGTTAACTACCACTCACACAGCTGAGTCCTGACAAGATTTGGTAAGGTGCTTTAGCAGAACATCATGCAGCAGCTGAACATCGTGTATGTGTGAAATGATTTTTTCATCTAGTCCCCTTTCCAGCAGGGATTTTTAGTGCTCTGATGCAGCTGATGACATAATCCATTACAGAAATCATTTAGCACTTTTTGTTGTCCTTTTTCGCCCTTGTTACAGTGGCCTTATGTATTTATTAGTACATTTTTAATCAGATTTTTGTGTGTGTGGGCGTGTGTGAGGTCACCAGTCAACACTGGAACATTACATTTTTGTCCTAATTTGGCACATTTGCTGAGCGGAGGATCATTTTGGATGCATTTGTCTTTAATGAACGAGTCCCATGTGACATGGGGCACTGAGGCTGCTGTGTTCATCAAACACACACAAAGATGTTTAACACACACACAATCACACAGAGTTGTCTTCAGTTTTAAGTGTCGTGTGCGTCAAAACAAATCGGTTCCCGAAATTTTTCTAATCACCTCAGATCCAAGCGTCGCTTTCATAGACATGAAATTATTTTCTGCTCTAAAAAGTCTTTGAAGCATTTGATTTGAACCAACAGACTCTCCAGCTAATTTATCCCTGTTTCTTCTGCTTCTTTACAGGAAACAGAGCTGTTGGATATTTCGCACATAAAAGATGCCAGAAATGGAAAGTGCACTAAAACGCCAAAGGTAAAAAGATGACAATTCACAAATCTGTGTCGATTACTGAGTCTGTGTCACCGTGTGTTGCATTGCATTATTTATGAAAAGCTGTCCCTGTAGTGAGCAATGTGTTCAAAGGAAAAGACAAGAGCGTTTCTGAACGATATGTTTTGTAAAGGTTTAATTAGTAGAAATGAAGTTCATGCGTGGGTGTTATTTCTATCACGTCGTCTGCATCCATCTACCAAAGTCTTATATAAAGAAGTGACTAGAACTGGTTGAAGGGGTTGTAATGACTGATATTTATTAGTGCTGCAACAATTAGTCGACATAATCAATGATGTTGATCATAAAAAAAGTTGATGCAGCGTTTTAGTTTTGCCGTTTTGTATTATTTACACACGCAAATGTTCTTCTGTAACTGCAATGCAATGCATGAACCGCTGGGGGCAGAATCGCTTCTATTGTTCGTGTTTGCATTGTTTACTAAAGAACAAGAGGTTCCAGCCTGCAAACCACAGAATAAGATGCAGCCGGCACATCAAAGAGAGATAATAATGGTGGAACAGAAAGATGATTGAGGAACACAGGAAAAAAAAACTAGACAAACTTACTAAAGTTGGCTACATTTTACCAATGATCAACCAAAGTAAAATGCAGACTCTGTCATTCCACGGCAGGACACAGTGGCAGTAAAAAACCACGAGGCCACGATGGGTGGAGACAGAGAACTGAACTCTGTTTGGTTGATAACTTATTTTGGACTCTGGAGGACTTTGGTTGGTTCCAGCATGGAGTATTAACCTTTAACGTCACCGGCTCTGCTGCATCCTACCTCATACCGTGTGTTTGAACCCCAGCACCCCCACCCTCCACCCCCTTCCTTAGCTGCCTCGCACTGAGYGAGTGGTTTTTTTGAGCATATGATTCTGTATTTCTGTGTAAACATAGGATCAGAGCATCTTTGAACTCATCTTTCCTCTTGTGTGTATTCCAAGCTTTTTAAAGGTAGTGCAACCCCAAGGTAGCCGCATGACCTGATCACCTCTTCCCCCATGTTTTTGTCATGTGTGTGTCTTCTTGAATGGGTGTTCTTGAATGTAATTTCGTTGTGCAAACAATGACAATAAAAGCTTTCATCATCATCATCATCATCATCATCATCATCATCATCATCAACATCATCATCATCATCATCAACATCATCATCAAGCATGACCACCTGAAACACTAACAGGCTGCAGCCTTGATTATCCTGTCCAAGTGGGTAACCTTGATGGATTTCCATCATTCTGAAAGTGGCCAGGATGGAGAAAAAAAAATTTATGATGCAGTCCCATTAAAGTCAGAGCAGAGCAGAGTGGGACTGGTCTTTCTGATGTACGGTGAGGCCAGGTTCAGCTGAGAGAAACCATCTGCAGGTGAAGCATCTTATTATACAGCTCCTGTCTTGAGTGAGCAGCTCCCTCCAATCGCACTTTGCTCCTGCGCTACCTACAACTTTGGTACCTAAAAGCTCACATTGTATTAACAACATCTCTGAAGTGAGTTGTGAAGTAGAGCTCTGTGTATAATGAAACAAAACAGACACAGTAACAGAGAGGATGTCAAAGTGAGGTCACAAAGGGAGGAGACACGACCACGTGACTCATCCGATTGTCGAAGCATTGGAAATCCATTACTGGGAGATGGAGCAGTGCTGCTCCCTGGGCATTGTAATGGGATCACCAATGAGACACAGTGTCTGAGGACTTGATGAGAAGAGAAGACAGAGTGGGGAGAAAAGGGCGGAGGGAGGTGGGAAGTGACTGAAAGATTTAGGATGAGGTGTTTTTGGATGCACGCTCAGCGGAAGGCTGGAGACAGGATCAGAGGAAAGGAGGAAGGACACAGAGATGGGTAAAGGTCAAAGAGAGATATCGGTTTAAAAAGCACATCACAAGTTTCAAAGCCTGACTCTTTTGTGCGTCTTTTCATGTTTAAGCTAAGCCAGGTGAGGATCACAGCAGCTTGGACTTAGGATGTCTCAGAAAAGTCTGTTGCATCAGATGATCTTTATTTTCCCTTTTTTATTTTTTGTACAAAAATCCTACTCTTCTCTGTGGTCTCACTCATAGGCTAACCTTTGCAGCTTCCATTCATTAATGCAAATTGCAGGAAAGCAGCGCGCCAACCAAAAAAGCTTGATCAGAGGTTGGACTTGTGATGACAAAGCTCCAGAAGTGCTTTCCTCGTGCTGCTGAAGAGCCCCTGGTCTCAGCTGGATGCTGTCAGATTTGGACACAATCCTTTAGCGACAGACGGACTTGAAATGAGCTCCAGATGGAGCGCCTTGTTTCATTCGCCTCTCTTGAGCCCTCATTTCCACTGGCACTYGGGTCACTTTGCGTTGTCTTTTGAGCAGCGTCTGATGCGTTCATTTATTTATTTATTTATTTACCGTCTGTGCGCGGTTTTGATTTTGGAGCTCGCTGCAGTGTGTTCACTGGCTCGTCGCAGAGCGTGGGCGGCTCGTCTGACCTCTCGTGAACTCGTGCCACCCTGCCTGTGGGCTTCGGCTGCTCAGTTATGATTCATGCCTTTGCTGTTTGAGGTCACACATGCACGCACATACACGCACGCACACACACACACACACACACACACATACACACACATACACACACGCAAAATGAAAAAAACACTTCATGACTTCAAATGCCTGCCATCATTTCTACACTGGGTGCACTTCCAGGCACGAGTCACACAGGAACACAGACACGTGTAATGAAAAAAAAAGAAAAGACAACTGACCGTGTCCTTGGTTTTTTGTTTTGATTGCAGAAGCTTGTTCTTTTTTCTAATTAACACGCACACGCCCCCTCCTCTTCATCATCGCCAAGGCTGATTAGACTGATTAGAATTACCTCATCATTTTCAGAGGCTTTGTTTGATGCTTCTAATATTCGTCACGCGCCCTTATGTTGGGTAATATTACCAAAGAGTTGGCATAACAGCCTAAAACTGTTGATAGAGGATAAATAAGAGAACAACTCATTTACTATCACTTACTAAATTGTACAGTAACATTTATGATAATTATTTCAAATTGTTTTATTATTTCAAACTTTATTCATTCCATAAAAAACAAAATCCTACGTACAATAAAAAAGAAAATACAAATAAAATGAAAGGCCGCAGAGAGGCGAAAATATATAATATCTGCCCCTTTTTCCTCATGTATAAATTCAAACTATAATAATCTTCAGTTAACAAAACAAAACTTTGAATCTTTCTAGAACAACAAATTGAATGGCTACATATTAAACCATTTCATATTTTTTAACAATCAAGTCTTTATCATTCTCATAAACATGTACATTGATGTGGCACTTTTAACA